CGCTGAGCAAAACTGGCCAGGGCTAGAGGCAACCAATTGATGTGTCTCTCTCACATCAATGTCTCTCTCTCTCTCCCTCCCACACTATCTGAAGATGGAAAAGTATCCTCTGGTGAGGATTAAAAAAAAAGAAGAATCTAGACTAGACACGGACTTTATTTACACTCTTTACCAAAATTTACTTAAAATGAATCATAGCCCTGGACAGTTTGGCTCAGAGGTTAGAATGTCATCTGGAAGACCAAAGGGTCGTGGGTTTGAATCCCAGTCAAGAGTATGTACCTGGGTTGCAGATTAAATCCCCAACCCTGCTCGGGGTTGTGCGGGAGGCAACCAATCAATGTGTCTCTCTCACATCAATGTTTCTCTCTCTCTCTCCCTCCCTCCCTCCCACACTCCCTAAAAATCAATGGGAAAATATCTTCAGGTGAGAATTAACAACAACAAATAATAATAAAGAAAGGATCATAGATCTAAATGTAAAATACAAAACTATAAAACTCCTAGAAGTGCCCTGGCCAGTTTGGCTCAGCGGTTGAGCATCAGCCTACGAACCAGAGAGTCCTGGGTTCAGTTTCTGCTTGGGGCACGTACCACAAAATAAATAAATAAATAAAACTAATAGAAGTTACTTTGGTAATGGTGATGACTTTTTATTTTTTATAAATGGTTTTATTTATTTATTTATTTATTTATTTATTTATTTATTTAGGTAGGTAGGTAGGTAGTTAATCCTCACCCGAGGACATTTTTACATTTATCTTCAGATAGAGCAGGAGGGAAAAAGAGAAACATCTACGTGAAATGGACACATCGAGTGCCTGCCACCCGCGCGACCCAACCAGGGCTGGGGACAAACTGCAACCGAGGTACGTGCCCCTAGCAGAACCGAACCCAGGTCTCTCTGGATCGCAGGCCTACACTCTAACTGCTGAGCCAAACCAGCCAGGGCCCACCAGTGTTTTTCAAGAACAGTGTCAAAATCATGAAAGATGAAGATAGACTGAGGCCATCCAATTGTCCTGGATTGGAGGAGACTGAGGACATATAATCTTGGATCAGTTTCTAGACCAAAAAAAGGACATTCTAGGACAACTGTTGAAATTTGGATAAGGTCTGTAGATTAGTTAATAGTCTTGGATCAATGTTACTGCCCTGGTTTTAATCATGTAGTGTTGCCCTGGCCGGTTTTGCTCAGTGGTTAGAGCATCGTCCCATGGACCAGAGAGACCCAGGTTCGGTTCCCGCTAAGGGCACATACCTCGGTTGTAGTTTGTCCCTGGCCCTGGTTGGGGCTGTGTGGGTGGCAGCCACTCGATGTGTCTCTCTCATGGCGATGTTTCTCTCTCTCTCTCTTCCTCTCTCCCTCCCGCTCTATCTGAAAATAAATGCAAAAAAAAAAAAAAAATGTAGTGTTGTTACATAACATGATAACAGTGTAGAAGCTATGGAAGGGTATACAAGCAGTCCTTGTACAATTGTTAAAAACAACTTTATTGAGGTATAGCTTACGTACCATAAAAATCCGCCCATTTTAAATGCATAATTCAATGATTTTTTAAAAAATCCTTACCCAAGGATATTTTTTTCCATTGATTTTTAGAGAGAGTGGAAGGGAGGGAGGAAGGGAAAGAGAGAGAAGACCAGGGAGAGAGAGAGAAAGACATTGATGTGAGAGAGACACACATTGATTTGTTTTCTCCTGCATGCACCTCAATCAGGGTTGGGGATCGAACCTGCAACCCAGGTAGATGTCCTTGACCAGGAATGGAACAAACCCTTCAGTCTATTGGCTGTCACTCTAACCATTGAGCCAAATCAGCCAGGGCTCAGTGATTTTTTAGTAAATTTACTGAGTTTTTCAAATATCACCACAACCCAGCTCTAGAACATTTTATCTATCTGTCATCTATCTATCTGTCATCTATCTATCTGTCATCTATCTATCTATCTATCTATCTATCTATCTATCATCAATCTATCATCTATCTATCATCTATCTATCTATCATCTATCTATCTATCTATCTATCTATCTATCTATCTATCTATCTTAGGAAGAAGGAAGAAGAAGGAACAAGGAAGGAGGGAAGAGGCAGGATCTCTAGAACATTTTCATCACCCCAATCAAATCCCTCACACTCACATCCCCAGGCTACCATTGATCTGTTTTCTGTCTCTATTGCTTTGGCTTTTCTGGCAAAGAGAATCATACGACATGTGTTCTTTTGTGTCTGGCACACTTAGCATGTTTTTAAGGTGTTTGTACTAATTTAGTGGGACAATTGATGATACTTGAATAAGATCTGTAAAAGGGCTGATAATATTGTATCAATGTAAATTTCTTAGTTTATATAATGGAAATATGGTCATATAAGATTTTAATATTAGAGTAAGCTGAGTGAAAGGTATGTGGGAACTATACTATTTGTGCAACTTTTTATAAGTAAAATAATTTCAAAGTAAATCTTTTTCTTTTCTTTTCTTTTTTTGTTAGTTTAAGCTTAGGATCTGAGCTGTGCACTGCTTATGATGGTCTATCATACCAAAGCTGTAATTTTTCAACATAATGGTTCTGCTGGCCTTTCCACTCCCCAAAGGTCCTTGGTGAATTTAGCTTCCAATAAGTTCCTCAGGGCCATGTTCAGGCTATAGTACAGAAGGTATGGGTTCTGAGTCATAGAGGCAAGTCCTGCAGTGACTCAGGGAGGGGCTTTTTCACTCCTCTCATGATGCTGGCACCTCCAGGGCTGCCCAGGAGGAAGGGGGGGGGGTCAGGTGGGCAGTGCCTGGAGGGTCTTACAGACTCAGCCCAGGCAGGGACCTGAAAAGCTGGGCAAGCTCAGAGTGAGGGCACTACAGACCAAAGGGTTTGGGGAGGGCTCCAGGGGCTGAGACCTGGGACTTCCTCAGAAGCTGCTGCTGTTAGTCAGCTTCCTGCTGACAAGGCAGAGGGGGATGAGCTCAGATGGGAGGATATTTAGGCCTAGAGGAAACAAGAGCTTGGCAAAGAAGAGGGCCTGAACATGTGCAGGAACCCACGGATACAAACTCAGGTCACAGATGAACTGTGATACACTCCCAAGCACTGGGACCCTGAGAAAGACACATGGGCATGTAACAAGTTGATTCACAGGCATGCACCGCGCACAGACATGCCTGGTGCACAGGCCTTCTGCCAGCATGTGTCCCATCCTTTAGGAGACTCAGCGCTGGAGGGGAAGCCAGAGCCAAGGCTGTGGTCAGGGCAAGTTTCAGGAAGGAAGAGGGCTGAGTGGGCAGCCAGAGGGCTGGAGAGTATGTCTGACGTCCGTTCCCTGGTCCTCTTGTTTGTTTCTTAGCATCTATCAACCATGTCCTGTCATTGAGCTTCTACTGGTTAGACCTGCTCCAAAGCAAGGCACAGACTTGGAGACCCATCCCTGCCCTTGAGGAGCTTGCAGTGCTCCCAGTTGGGGAGCATTTGGTTGGGGTGGGGGAAGAGGTGGGCCAGAATAGCCAAAGGGCATTTATTGGCATTGGCCAGATAATGAGGGTAAAAGGGGTTCTTGGAGAACCCAGCAGAAAACACAACCCTCAGGCTGGAACCTGGGCTTGGGGCAGCAAGAAAGGAGACCAGGTAGGTGGCAAAAGTGTGGAAGCTGAGGGGTCATCATGTTGGCCCAAGACCTGCAGCAGCAGCAGTTGCTCCAAAGACCCAGCTACTCTGTCCTTGTGACTTCCATGGCATGGCCAGTGCTTACTTGTGGCTTTGCCAGCTCCTTCCTGTACTTGTGTATCAGTCTGGACTCTGCAACCACTGACCAAAACCCACTTCAAACCAGCATAGTTCTCTTACAGCACAGAAAGGCTGAATGACCAGGGGGTAGTCCAAGGTGGCCTCGGAGTTCTAGGACATAAGCCACCTTTCTCCTATCATGATGGCCCTGTGTGGGCTCCATCCTCCTCAGGCCGGTGTGTGGCCACCAGTGGCCTTCAGCAATCTTCTTCCTCACTCTGAACTCTTTCCCAAAGTTCTAAGAAAGCTTCCAGAACTCTGCCTCACCATCTTGAGTCAGCCTTGGCTCCACAGTCAGTTTTGGCTCATATATCCTTCCCACAGGTCTCAGAGGAGTGGGAGTAGCTCTGTCTAGACCACAGCAACCGAGGATGGAGAGGGTCAGGGCCTCAGGAAAGAGGGCTAGTGGGCAGGCAGAAAAGGCAGGTGACTGTTCTGAGGTCAGAGGCCCTGGAAAGGATGAGTTCAGCCATCTTGAGTGGACTAACCCACCCTGCCAGGCCAGCCAGGCAGCCTTCAGGATTGCCCATGTACATGGAGCCCAGACATCTCTGAGGCTGGCAGGCATCAGGCTTCCTGGAAGAAAGCAAGCACTTGGCTGTGCCCAGTGTGGGCTGGGTGCTGGGATGGTCCTGCAGTCAGAGTTGCATGTTATAAAACAGCCCTGTTTAGTGGGTAGAGAAAGGGATAAGTAGGTGTGTATGAGTGGGTGAGAGGTCAGGGTTGGGAACCCATGAGGAGCCTGTGACCTGTGCCCAGATGAGATGAGACTGGGGCAAGGTGGGGCTTAGAAGGTGGCACTGGGGCTGGATGTAAGAATGAGTGGGACTTGGTGACAGACGGGAAGTGGTAGTAGTGGGCACCCAGGTAGGAGCCTCTGGTTTCCTGAAACCAGACCTAGGACAAGGGGAGGTCTCGAAGGCCATCTGGGACCTGCTGAGGGCCTGGTGAACACAGGGATAACATGGTGGCTGGACACACCTGAGGCTGGAGCACACCCGGGTAGACAGCTTAAGTTCTGTCAGCATAGGACTTGACACAGGAACTAGGACTGGAAATGGCCAGGCTATCCCAGCCAGCTTTTTCTCTTCTGCTCAGATGCATCTGACCCTGATTTCTGCCTACTCAGTCTGACCAAGCTCCCTGCCTCTCATTGGCCATAGTCATGCCCCTCCCTCTCCCCTCTCCATTGTGGAGGGGGGGGGGAGCTGACCACTCTTCCTGTCCTGGGCCAGCCTCTGAGCAGCAGCCAGGCGGAGGCTGATAAAAGCTCTGCAGCTAGCCCTCTTACACACCAGCTGGCCAGACAGAGCCACCAGCACCACCATGAAGGATGAGGTGGCTCTTTTGGCTACTGTCACCCTCCTGGGAGTCCTGTTGCAAGGTGAGCTGGCTCCCGTTTGGGAGGTGGGTGGGTCTCACACCCCTGCAGCCTGCCTTCTGCCCTGCAGGTGCTGGGGAGGTATTGGAGGGTCCAGGTTCAGGTGAAGGGCAGAGGTGGGGCCCCCAGCCCATACTCTGGTGTCCAAGTTCTTCTGACCCCACTGACCCTACTTACTGAAGGCTGGGCTGAGTGGCTTACAGTTTCCCAGATAGGAAGAGGGTAAACCTTGAAGGAATGTCAACTGTGAAAACCTGGGCAGGGACCAAGGCTGACAGGGGCAGTGAAATGGATAAAGGCCCCTGAGGGATGTTTGAGGTAGGCATTCCAGGTACCATAGAACTGAGGTGGTGGCTGTTGGACCAGCATAGAGAACCTTGGAGATAGGTCAGAGGTTTCCAGGAAGCAGATGGGCACCTAGCTGTGCTGGGCTGTGGGATCTGCATGTGTGTGTGCCAGGATGCATGGATAGTCTGGTGCTGGGAACAGAAGTGGGACAACCATGGGCCTGGCGCAGCCCCGCTAGAGATGGCCCCTACCTTCTCCAGCTGTTCCCTCTCTGGGTGTCCCAGCAGGAAAGCCCCATTTCTTGGCCTTGCTGTCAACGGCACCCTCTCCATGCTGGGACCATGTGGAGCTGGTCAGGGTTGGAACTTGCTTCTTTGGGCCCCAAAAGGTACCTGATAGGTGCCCTTCTCAGACTTACCCTAGAGTACATATTCCTGGGCCAGATATCTCCAATGCTTAGGATACCACAGTGTATGGGTTAGGACAAGACACAGCCTGGGGAACAGGCCTGAAGGAGCCAAGCAGACTCCATTTCCAGCCACAACAGCAAGCTTGGCCCTCAGCCCCTGTTCATGTAGCTGCAGTGCCTCCTCCAGATCTACACTGTGCTTATATGGCCACCCATGACACACACAATACACTTGGGATGGGAATATGTCTGCATAGGGTCTGGCACCAAGGGTCCAGGGTCACAGGACTTGCAGTAAGAATAGTTGGGGACACCCAGCATTGGGGCTGTGTGTGGTGAGGGCCTGGCCTAGGGTTGAGAAGGGCCCCCGCACACTCAGATACCCTAGGAGAAGCCCATCCACCCTGGAATGAAGGCTGGCAGAGCCCTTGGGGGTCTGCATTTGGGCTAGAAGAGTCCCAGCTGCAACCACCTGGGGCAAGGGAGAGTATATCTGTCAGATTTGGGCCATGGTCCAGGGTACCTGAACAGAGAAACAGACAGGAGGCCATGCCACAATTTGGAGGCACAGGTACCCAGCCTTGAGTTACTCTGGTCTGAGGTGGGGTCAGGAGGCTCTGTTAGCCATGGGGTGTGTGCTGCCCTGCACCTGGAAGGATGCAGCCAAGTCTGTCCTCAAGCCCTGGTGGCACTTCCTATCTAGGGACTCCAAAGCCAAGGTCCATGTCTAAGGTGGGACAGGGTTGGCTGGGCATTTGCTTGTATTTTGCAAGTCAAATGATTTATAAGGAAAGTCTAAACAGCCTGCCCTTGACAGGTGTCCCTGTGACTGGCATCCCCCCTTCCCCTACACTCACAGGGTGCCCCAGGCCACACCATGTCCTTCCCATTGAGCGGCATGAACACAGGGCAAGCATGGAGAAGAGGGGGCGGTGGAGGTCTCCTGGAGAGGGCTTTCAAGGGGAGTTGTGACCAATTCAGTGTGGAGGTGGAAGTAGAAGAGAAAGATGTGAGGCCAGATGGGAGGCAGGGTCCGGGGAAGGCTACGGGAATCTGGTGGCCGGACCTGACTCCCACCCGCTTTGTCCCCAGCCTATTTCTCCCTGCAGGTGATCTCAGCACGCAGGGCCTTCCGCGTGTCGCCACCGCTCACCACCGGCCCACCTGAGTTCGAGCGTGTCTACCGAGCCCAGTGAGGCGCGGCGGGAGGGCGCGGGTCGGGGAGTGAGAGAGCCCGGAGCGGGCAGGGTGTGAGGCCCCGGTTGACACTCTCACGCCGCCTGTCCCCACCGCAGAGTGAACTGCAGCGAGTACTTTCCGCTGTTTCTCGCCACGCTCTGGGTGGCCGGCATCTTCTTCCACGAAGGTCTGGGGCAAGGCGGGGCAGCGGCTCAAGCAGCTCAGCCCCAGGGTTCCCTGCACCATTGAGTTTACCAGGCCGCACCCCTCCCTCAGGTGCCGCGGCCCTGTGCGGCCTGGTCTACTTGTTCGCACGTCTCCGCTACTTTCAGGGCTATGCGCGCTCCGCGCAGCAAAGGTAAGAACCGGGGCGGGGAAAGGCAGCTGGTGGGCGGGATCATGACGGCCCCGGCCGCGCGCAGATGGCTAGAAGGACCAGGAAACCGGTGGGAGGAAGGACCCTTTTGCGGGGTGGGGGCTGGTGGAAGTGCTAGTGGAGCTGTGGGGGGTGGGGGGCTCCCCACCACCTCAAGCCGAGGGTGGGGCTGACGCCCGTCCCAGTCCCCGCTGAGTGCTGTCCACAGGCTGGCTCCGCTGTACACGAGCGCGCGCGCACTTTGGCTGCTGGTGGCGCTGGCGGCGCTCGGCCTGCTTGCCCACTTCCTTCCGGCCTCTCTGCGTGCCGCATTCTTGGGATGGCTCGGGACACTGCTGCCCAGGGCCTGAGGCTGAGGATCTTCGGAGCTGGAGAAGAGCCGGGTGGAGGACTGGGGGAGGGTGCTCGCCCCCATCCCAGTCTCTAATTAAAGTACTCGTGACCGGATCCCGAACGCTCTCTCTGGGTCGGATGGGGTCACGCTCCGCGGGCTGTGGAGCTTGGAGGGGCCCAGCCCCTGGCCATAGCAGTCCGGTGGGCTTCCTAAGGGCAGCGGGGAACCATCGGAGGAAGAAAAGGGGCCTTACCCACCACACCCCGGGTAGGGAGGGGCTCAAGCCGGTCCTAGATCTGTCCTCTTTCGCCCTTCTCCCAGCCCCTGGAGCAACAGAGCCAGCCCGCGGGCATCTTATCTCACCAAGGTTCACACTATGGCTCCGTCCTGTCCCTGCTGTCCGCGCTCTCCTCTCCCGCCCGCCTCCTCTGAAGCCTGCTTAGCGGACACTCGGCCCCCGGTGTCTAGAACAGTGTAGGTTTCAGGGCACCCTGCCATAGAGCCGTAGGGAGGACGACCATGGTCATTGTGGTCGTGATAGGAGCTTTCAAGAAAAAGTCCTGGTGCCTTGAGAGACCAAACTCAGGGAGGGCCTGCAGGCCAGAAATAATGACCCTCAAGAGGTAACTTTTAGCAGAGTCGGCAGGGGAAGAGCTTTCCAAGCAGGGTGGCAATATATGCAAAGGTCCTGAAGTAGGCGGGAGTTCCTAAAATGTGTAAAAAAGAGGGGGTGGGGGGATGACATGGTCCTTGGGGACCACGGACAAGGGCAGGGCTGAAACCCTCGAAGAAGGGGGAACAAGGACGAAGAAGGGGGAACAAGGACGTGAAGGGATGCCTTCCGTTTGAGAGGCCCCACTTTAGGCAATGGGGTGGGTGATGGAAGCTAGGGGGCTCCCTTGGGGGGGTCCTCAAAGACCAGTGTGATTTTTGGGGGTCAGGGCTCCAGATTCCGCACTGGCTCCACTCACGATTGTGCAGACCCTTCAAGGAGACCCAAGCCTGAATTGGGTTCTAGGAAAATGGGCTCGAGGTTGTGCAGAGCTATGCGGAGGTGGCATCAGGTGGACATAGGGTGACATTATCTGGTGCCTCCCCTCAACCCCACCTACTTGAGCTCAGAGCACCACTATGAGGCACACACTTCATTAACCCTTTATTACAAGTCACGCTCTTATAGAAGTATATGTGGACTTAAGTGAAAAAAATCAAATGTATCCAAGAATAAAAAACACAGCACATAAAGTAGTATATGCATTCCAGTGTTCTCTCTGGAGAGAGCAGGTGCCCAGGAAAAAACTCTTCTAAAATGGCCTGGCTCAAGCCCACAGGCCGGCTGCAAATGGTTCAGGGCGGCACAGGCCTGCCTCAGGCACAGTGTGAGGACCACCACCTCCTTCTGATGTCCACCTCCTCCTGATGCCTGGTCAGGGGTGCAGCACCAGCTCCTGGGGCCTCTGGACCAGTGGCAATTCCAGGCTGCTGAAAGGTGCCAGGAACAACCCCTCAGGCTGGGTGGGCCACATTTGGCCCTCCGAGGGCAGCAGCAAAGACATCCCTGGTATCCTGGGCTTCACAGCCAGTCCTCAGAAGTCCTCCTCTAGTCAGCTTTTTTCAGGAAGATCTAGAAGAGCCAGCCCAGAGTCAGCAGAGGCCACAGAGCTGGCCCCATGTAGCTACTGGGAACAGCTCCTTTGTTCCCTGCACCCTGCCCTGTCCTGCCTCACCTCGCTCAGAATGACCCACACCGGTGAGTCTGTCTGGATGGAGAGGCGCAGTGCTTCTAGGGGACCGAAGGCAGGGTCCACCTCTCCCTCTGCCACACCTTTGTAGAAGGAGCCTGGGGGAGCAGGGCAGCACTGAGAGCTTGCCCCAAGACCTCTGCTCAGTCCAGCCTCTCCCCCCACCTCTGCCTGCCTGATCCCACTCACCTATCTGGAGGTAGCCATCAGGGCTCCGCGGGTACCGCAGGGTGGCTGAGCGGCCCTCCTGCAGGGCCTCCTTGTCTGATTGGGGGTTCTGGGGGCAAAATCAAGAGGCTAAAGCCAGGGGCTATGGGAAAGGCTGGCCTCAGTGTACACCCACACGCTACCACACTCACATCAAAGGGCAGCACCTCCACAGAAGTGTTGAAGAGCTTGTCCTCTGGGTGCTCAATGTTCCCGCTGCGGAAGAAGAACCTGCAGCCAGGCAGGCCTATGAGCTGCTGTAGGGTGGGGAACTGCCCAAGCACACTGCCCAGCGGAGAAAAGGCCATGCGTGGGCCCTGGGTGAGGCTGGGCACCACCAGGGGCAGCCATTGGCTGTGCAAGCCAAGGGCCTTACTCATAGGGACGATGGTGATGGGCAGTGTCACTGAGCTCCTGTGGGACCTGTCTGACACAGTCTTCACAAGGTAGCTACCATTATGCACCCTGTTCTTCAGATAAAGAAACTAGGGGATGGTAGGGTTGAGTAATTTGCTGGGGGGTCACAGAAATTTGTAGTGAGGCCTGTAACCTGGTAGCCACCCTGCCCCTCCCCCAAGGTGGACCTGTGGGTGCTGATACTGACCGCTCAAGACGTAGTGGCTGGAAGAAGCGGAAGCGGATAAAGTCCCCTGCAGCAGGTGTGAAGGCCCAGAAGAAATCCTCACGCAGGTAAGCCTTCTCCAGGGTGAAGTGCTGGTATGTCTTGAGGCTCGTGCTCACTTCAGCGGGGGGGTTCATGTGCTCCTTCCTCAGCGCCTGCTTCCCAAAGTCCTTGTCCTGTAGTTCCGGAGGGACAGTGGTGCTAGAGTGGGCTCTGTACTTGCCCTGTTGCCCCCTTGCCCCATCCCAGCCCAGGCTTTGCCTGTACTCAGCCAGGCTCACGTGGGGCACAGCCCACCTTCAGTTTCTGAATCTTGCCCGCCAGTGAGGAGTGAGTGCCCACGTGCTGGAAGAGGGATGGCTTGAATCGGATTCGGAGGTTGGCCTTCTGCCGGTCACAGTGCTTCTGTGGAGGGAGAGCAGCATTCTAGATCTGAGCTTATGCCCCACCTCCGAGGACAGGGCTTTCTCCAGCCAGCAGCACCATGCCCTGGAGTCAGGTGCACATCTACAGACACAGTCCACACTGGAGGTTGTGTGCTCCACCACCCAGCCTGCCTCTGTGCAGCCCCTGCTCACCGCGTCCTTCTCAGGGTTGCAGACCTTCACCCACAGAATATGGTCCAGAAGCCAGTCGATGGGCTTGTCCCGGTAGAACATGAGGATGAACTCCACAATCAGGCTCAGGTCTAGTGACTTGAACATCTTCCCTGGTGGGAAAGGGGGGTAATGGGTGCTGAGTGGGCAGCTCTGCCCTGTCCTACTTCATCTTAATCCTTGTGGCAGCCACTAGGGAGGGTCCTACAGCAAACCCTGTGGCCAGCTATAGGCAAGTATGGGCACCAGGGACCAGACAGTGATGGTGACTCTGAGAGTGGGTGGGAACAAGCCAGATGGGGCTGCAGTGGCCGTTCCAGGCAAAGGCTCCCAACCTGATGCTGTAGTGAATGGTGTACAAAATAGGGTGGAGGGTAGGAGGATTATGAGAGATGCAGAGGTGGTTGGGACTGAGGGGCTCTGTTCAGGTCAGCAGGGGAGCGGTGGGGGACACACCAATGAAACCCAGCTGGGAGAATTCCAGGATCATCCAGTCCTCTGAGGGCTGCTGGAGTGCGAAGTTCTTCATGGTGCTCAGGTAGTTGGGCTTGGCCACTATGTCATCCTCCAGCTGCACAGTAAGAGGCAAAAGGGGGCTGGGACTCAGAATGGACATAGGGGCAGAGTGGCATGAATCCCCCAGGCCCAGTCATGGTCTAGAGGTAGGGGCACAGAGTACAGTATCAGTGCTGACCTGCACATAGTAGATGCCTTTGGACTGTGCATACATCATGAGGAAGCAGTAATCGAGGTTCTGTTTGGTCCTCCACCTGTGGGCCAGGTTCAGAGACCTCAGGAGCTCAGACCCTTCCACCTCTGATATGGCTACCACAAGCACACTCAGGGTGTAGAACACCTGCCTCCCCACCCTCCGCCATGCAGGGGTCTTCCAATGAATAAGTGAATACTGCAGCCAACAGACTGGGCTCTCAGCACAGGCAAGAAGGTTGCTGGGGGTATGGGAAGGGGGGGCAGTGCTAATACCTGACTCTCTCCTTCGGGTCCCCAAAGGACTCTCGGAGTCGGGAGAAGTCAGGGTAGAAGTGGGGGGAAGGGGAGATGACCTCCAGTAGTCCAGAATGGATCTCTGTGGGGAACCTGGGGGACAAGAAGGCCCAGTGGGGGTGTGTAGCCTCCAGGACCTGGAGCAGGGGCAGAGGTGAGCCAGCCAGACCCTGTCCCTTTTCTAAGGCCCACTAAGCAGACATTACCCACACCACATCCTGCCTACTGAGGCAATGGGGCTTGGAGGGGCTGAGTCACCTCTACACACCCACTGCCTGTCAGCCAACAGGGGAAGCACCCTGCACCCTCCCCCAGAAAGGTCACTGTCTTGTGGGGGAGGCAGGCATCTGCCTACCCAAAACCCCACAAAGGGCCCTCCTTCCACCAGCATTTTCGGCTGCCAGTACTCACAAGGCTTTTATGTTTTCTGTCACCACCGAGGTGTACTGTGGGTCAGTCTGTGGGGAGACCAAGCACCCTCCCTAAGCAGGACTGCCACCCCAAATGGCCTGGAAGAAGGGGCTAGGGGTAGGGGCATGGGCTTCAGATGACCCTACATACAGAGGGAGTGAGCCCCCTATCCTGAAGGCTGAGTAAGGCTGGGCCTGACGGCCACAGGTACCTCAGAAAAAGCCCTTTGGGTAGGTACTGGGGCCATGGGGGTGGGGCACACTAGGAAAATGGCATCTCCATGAGGAGGCCCTAAAATGTTTTTTTTTCTTTTTTATCTTGATAAATTTGTGAATGACAGTGAACTTCTGATAGCTTTCCCCTCTGGAATGTTGCCCTGTTTTCATTTCTCCTTCTAGTTATTTCATGTGTCTGAGCGTGTCCCCAACCCCGCGCCCCAGCCTACTCGCCTCTGCAATCAGCACCACGATGACTGAGTCCTCCTTTTCCTGAGGACTCAGCTCGGAGATGAGCGAGTGCAGCGTGTCAGTCAGATAAGAGTGTACCTCGCGCCGCACACTGGGGATGCCCATCACCACCGACACTGAAGAGAATACAGGGTAATCAGCCATGACAACTGACAATGGGACCTCCTCACCTCTGCCTCTGGCCCCTCCTGGCCCCGCACCTACCTCCAGTACGGCCCTGGCCCACTCGCACTGCTGGCAGCAGGCTGCTTTCCTTGGCCAGCAGGTGCGGCAGGTGGTGAAAGATGGTAGGCAAGTGCAGCTCGTGCTTGTGCGAGACGTTCCACGGCTTCAGTTGTGGGTCCTCTGGATGAGTCAGGAAAGGACTGGTCAGATAGGGGAGCCTGCCACCAGCCCCTCCCCCCTGCCTACTGGCTCCGGCTCTCACCGGTTAGTCTGCCCCAGGTGCGATTGCTGTCTCGGTCTCGAAGTGCCTGCCTCTCTGACACGGCCCTCTTGATCTCATCCAGCACCAAGTTGAGCTCCTTGGAGCGCTTGAGGCTCTCCTGTTCAGCTGCATGCAACCGGTCCCGCAGTGCCAGGAACTCCCGCTGGTATGTGTCCACCACATCACCTGTGGGTGATTCACATGCTGTCACCAGGGGGCAGAATAGAGGTGACCTACACACACATCTGGGCGCCCATTTGTGTGACAGACATCTGTTCTCCTGCCTGTCACATAGGAACTCTCCAGGGTTACATAGGGTCACTCTGAAGTCATACTGACACACCTGGGGCAGAAAAGCTTCTACACAGGGGATTAGCATTATAGTACTCTCTCCCTACCCCCTGTTATTTTCTCCTTTCAGGAGGTACCTGAAGTGGGAGGGCTGGAGGATCACTTCCAGCCCCAGGTGGGGCATTCCTAAGCAGGGGCTGGAACAGCATCAGGCTGAACCCTTCCCACCCAGTGGCTCCGAAAGCCCCCTCTGGCTTCTCCTTACAGCATCTACTCCTAACTGCTATTGTTCCAGTCCCCAGTGCTCAAATGATCAAATGATGCTGAGAAACTAGTCATTCAGTGAGTGACCAGCAGAGAGGGGCCATCTCTAAATGCCCTGAGGCCTAATTCTTCAGAGACCTGTGTCAGAGCCTTCAGCTAGACCCCTGTTGGGGTACAGGGGGGAGGAGTAGCACAGAGGTGGGGTTGCCTGACAGTACAGAGGAATCCCCAGGGTGCCCCTACCTGGCTCCACTGGTCGGGCAGGGACCAGTGAGCAAGTATGAGACAAACAACATCCCTGCCTATAGCCGGTACAACAGGTTCTGGAGAGCTGTGCACTCTAGGCCTTTCCAGTCTCACTAGAGCCATCTTCATTTGCTATCATACACAACTCCTTGTCCTTGCCTAAGGGCCATATCTTCACACACACATGCTCTCTTCTCCTCTGCTTGGGATCCCTTTCCTCTTCTGGGCCAAATGAATACCCATGTAGCATTCAAGGCTTAGTTTCAAAGTCTCTATGTTTAGGAATCCTCTCCCACCCCAGGCAGCTCTTCTGCTTCTCAATCCCTCATGGGTCACAGCCCCCAAAATGCCCTGGATGATGTCTCTGCTCTGGGCACCAGAAGTCACAGTAAAGGCAAAGTTCAGTCACCTCTGGACACAACTACTTCTGCAGCACTCCATATCTCCAAACTTCTGCTAGCCCCAACCTCCATCCCCACACCCAGTCTGCCTGGGGGACAACCCTGAGCAGGGGAGGGAGGAGGTATCAGATTACAGGATCTTCCAGGTTCTGTGCTAGGTTCCAAGGCCAGGTTACCCTGGGAATCTGAATCCTTGAACAGGAGCTGGCCGCCCACAATGCTGGGTGGAAGGTGTTCAGACCCAGCAGAAGGCAGTTCAAAGACACATGGACACCTGGACATGGCAGGTGGCCTTCCTCCTGCCCAAGTCCTTGCCCATCTACCTATTGGTCCCTACTGCCTACCCCAGTGCAGTGCAGTCACTCAGTCCTGCTTAAGGCAGCCTCCTGCAGTAGGGCCCTTTGTGAAGTAGGGGGAATGTGAGGAGGCCTCACCCTTTTCTGACTGCTGCCTCTGTCATCCCCCTTTTCTCTGATCTTTAAGTAGGCTGAGCTCTGTCCAACCTTAGCCTGCCCCAGGTAGACAGGCTGGCAGGCAGCAATGGGTACTGCTGCCCTGAATTACCCTCATTACCAAGGCCTGGGCACAGCCTGCTCCATACTGTGGCTGCCCTTCCCAGGGGCCTCCCTCTGCCCAGGTCCTGAGCTTCCTCCATTTACTAAAAAGAGATGGACCCTGGAGGTTCCTGATCCTGGCTCCTGCCCACACAGACCCTTTTATCATTTCCCTGAACACTGCAGGCTCCTGTACCTCAGCAGCCCACTCTTGGCCCCTCAGCATCCTGCCCCTGCTCTGCCTGTTGTCAGCAAAGTCCCCAGCTTGACCCTCATCTGACTTCCCGCTTGTGGGTCCAATCTGTCCTTGGCTTTGAAAGCCAGAACCTCAAGCTCTGTGACTGCCTATCCAGGTGCTGAGCCTTAGACTAGAGTTCTGCTAGGCCCTCCTGGCACCCCACAACCTTCATGGGGTGGGTAGCTGGACTGAAGTGGTACGTGGACTGGGAAGGCAGCTCAAGTAATGGGAAGGGCAAAGGTCTGGGAGCCCCTGGTTTCTGGGGTTGGGGCAGAAGTTCCTGGGAACTAGGGCTGAGGGGACCTGACTGCTTCTTCTATGTATACCTTCCTACCCCAGGGAAGTGAGGTAGGGGGCTTGGTCCCCGGTGCAGCTGGCCCTAGGGAAGGCTGTGGCCATACTACTGGAAGTTTTCCCACCGGAAGGCAGAGCAATCAGGACACCTACGGCCCATGGACCACAAACTTCCCTCTGGTCCCCTCTTGGCTGAAGAAACAGATCTTGTGTCCCATGTTTAGAGAAGGAAAAACAGGCTCAGAGGGGCATAGACTGGAGCCCAGCCCAGGGAAGGTCTGTTGTTAACTGGCAGGTGGGAAAGGGGGTCGAGAGGGGGCAGGTGTTCAACTCCTCTCCAACACTTGTACCCATACTCCCAGTGGTCAAGAACGGCTTGACCACTGCTGAAGTACAGGATGTTGGGAAGCTGGGGAGTGCCATGTGGCTGAAGCTGGCCCCCTGGAGGATCTGCTGTCCTCCCTAGGGACAGGCCTTTAGCAGATATTTGGCTGAGGGCTACAGTTAGAACACTAGCAGAGCTGGTACACAAATGTGGTCAAGGCTGGATGTGAAACCCATATACAAGGCCCATCTAGCCAAGGCATACATGTCTTTCCTGGCCCTGGGCTTTCAGGATGCCACTTTCTCCTGCTGTCTCCTTCCTCTCTGGCTACCTACCCACCTCCTCCCTTCCCTACAGACCTAGGTTCCTCTGCCCTTCACCTAAGTATCAGTGTCTGGACCAACCTTATCCTGAGCTCCCCACTTGCTGCAAAATGGAATCCAGGGTCCAGTCTGGTCTCAGCTTAGTTTAGTTGGGCTTCCCCACAGGCTTAATACAGTTGTCCAAATGTAAGAATAAGAAGGGGTCACATAAGAGCTCAGATTCAGGCTTTTCTTTTTTTTTTTTTAATCCTCACCCGAGGACCTTTTTCCATTTCTTATTCAGATAGAGTGGGAGGGAAAGAGAGAGAGAGAGAGAGAGAAACATCGATGTGAAAGGGACACATCGAGTGGCTGCCACCTGCACGACCAACCAGGGCCAGGGACAAACTGCAACTGAGGCACGCGCCCTTAGCGGCAACTGAACCCGGGACTCTCTGGACCGCAGGCTGACCCTCCAACTGCTGAGCCAAACTGGCCAGGGCTCAGGCTTTTCTTGAGGCCTCCAAAGATCTGGCCCTACTGGGCCCCCAGAAACAGTGGCAGCTCTTGACAAGAAAGGCCCAGGACACACACTCACCATGCTTCTCAGGCTCTTTGGCTTCCATGCCCCAGGGATGAAGACTCCTGCATCTGAGCACCACAATTCTTTGGCTGAGGGTACTCTCATACTCCCCAAGCCCTTGGAGTACCAGTGTCCTCAACACTCCCTTAAGGGAGAGTGGGTCCTAAATGGAGCCACTGGAACCCCTTCATTCTGGTGCTCTGGACACTGGTTCCCTGTAGGGAGCCAAGCCTCCAAGGAAGGTATCCTGGTGGGATTTGTACTGTAGCTCCTGACATCAGGCTGAGGACATGCAGCTGTTACAGGAGGCACACAGAAACTGTACCCTGGCCAAGGACAGGGTATAGGGGCTCATCACCCCACCCAGAGCCAGACACATATGCCCCAGCCTGTCAGATATAGCCTCACCTGGGCCTCCATGCCAGCCTGCTTACATGGTCACTCTTCCAAGGGTCCAAAATGTCATTCCCAGTGTGACACACTCTACCTAGAGACTTACAGAGAACTCTGCGCCAGTCATAACCTCTCTGTGCCAAGCCCTAGGGGTATCCCCTCAGGGCCCTTGGCCTCCACCCAAACAGGAGGACTGCAGTAGGCTGGGCTGGACAGGCAGGAGCAGGAGGGGAGGGCTGTTGGGGCTTAGAGGGGCAGAAAGGCTCTAGTTTCCCCCTCAGCCCTCCTCCAGCCTCATTTACTGTAGTGTGGGAGAACAGGGAAGCAGGAGATGGGAGGGAGGCAGAAGTTCAATTGGCCTCAGCCTGATCCTGGTTAATTTAAGCCTTCTGCAGGAAGGCCAGTAGGCAGGAAGGAAGCAGCTTTCCCCGGTGCCTTCTGTGCTGCAAGCTGGATGGACAAGGGCCTCCTCAGCCCCACCCATCCCAACCAACACTAAGTGGCACCAGCTAGTACTGGTGCCTGTCTCCCCCCACCTCCTACCCCGAAGTGTGTTGGCCAGATTCAGAGGGCCATGGTGGTGGATTGGACAGCTTGACCAAACTTCAGGTGATGGTGTGTGTATGTGTTGAGGGAGAGGGGTGATGGCCCAATGAGATCACACAAAGTGAGTTAACTGGTTGCTGGGGCTGGGCTGTCTGTTCATGAGGTCCTCCACACATTCCTGAGCCAGCAGCCACAGGAGGGCTGCCCCAGCACCCAGGGCCCTGTGGAGCAGTCCTGGAGCCATATGTCATGTAAGAGGGTTGCAGATACCCCAGTGAGCGCAGGAGTGGGGTGAAGAGGTGATGTGAGGTAGAGGGTGACTGCCTGGATGTGTGGATGTCCCCTCACACCTATCTCAGGAACACAGTACCTATCCCTGCCCAGGTGCCTAGAGTACCTTGGGAACCACCTGGCACAGCCACTACTGTGACCTTGTATCTCTGTCTCTCTCTGAGAACTCTGAGATTCTTAGTTGCTCAGTGGGAGCCTCTACCCTGAGCATGGGCGTAACTATTCGTGGAGGCGGGCCCCAGAGCCGCAAGGAGGACCCGGCGATGGCTCGGCCCCGCGGCCCAAACCAGGCGGGAGGAGAAATTTATTATTCCGGTAGCAAACAAGTCTGGGCAAGGATGGGAGGGGTGTCCTCCCGCTCCGCGGCGCAGGGAAGGGGAGCCCGCGCTGGCTTCTGGCCGCCTCCCGCGACCTCTGCCCGGACCCGCTCCGCCCTGGGCGCCCAGGTGCGGGATGTGTCGCGGGGCAGGGAAGACTCACCTTTCTGGCCGCCGAGGGCCGCGTACCAGGAGAGCGAGAGGAAGGCGCACAGGCAGAGGAGCAGCAGCGTCAGGAAGGTGCCATTGCGGAGCCTCATCTCCTCCGGTGCGCGGCGGGCGCCGGCGGGGCCGAGGCCGCATGGCCCGGGAGCCGGGGCCGGGGGCGGCGGAGGCCCCGGCCCCGGACGGGACTGGGGACGGCTCCTCCGGGGCGCGGGGCGCGGGTGTCCGGCCTTTCTCCGCCGCTGGGCCGGGCCGGGCTGGACTGGGCTGGGCGGCGAGAGCCGCGGCCCGGCCTGTATCTGGGGCCGCCGCGGAGTCGGCTGCGCAGGGCGGGGCGGCCCAGATTTTAAAGGGGCCGCAGCACCCGCCGCTGCCGCCAGCACCGTGAGGAGGCGGGGCGGGAATCAGCCCGGCTAGGGACAGTTGCACCGGTGTGAGCTCGCTGAGCTGCTCTGAGTCTGCCCTCGGGTAGGTCGAGGCGGGTACCTTCTTGAGTGCGGCGGAGCAACTGCGGTGCAGGCGACGCGCCCTCGTCTCCCCAACCCCTTCTCGGCGACATTTCCATTATGCCCCCCCCCCCATACGGACTCCACTCCCGTTTACTCAAGGATCCTCAGGTCTCTCCCCCAGTCCTGAGGAGGGTCTAGGAGGTGGGAGGGGGAAGGTATGGCTGGAGCTGGCGTTGCCTCCAGCCAGGGGATTCTGTGGAGTGGCCCTGCCTGAACCAGCGCCCTCGGTCGGCTACCTCTCCTCCCTGGACCTTTTTCTAGTAGGCCAGATAAAGGTGTGCTGGGGACAGAAGGTGGTTCTGCTTCGTAAAATAGAAACAGTGGGGTGTTTTCAGGAGTAAAGGAGCTGATGTGGGTGGGTGTTGGGCACAGTGACCAGCCCAGAGTTGGGCTGGCTTCCCAGGTGCCAGGCACGGGTGGGCTGGAGGCTGACAACCTTAGGGTAATATGGCCCGCAGCCGCAAGCAGCCCAGCGCCTCCTAATCCCTTCATTGCAGTGCGCTTGACACGTTTATTCTTGTACCAATCCAGGCTTTTCCCAGTCCTCTGTGGAACCAGGAAGGGGACAAACCATAGAGGGGTTGGTCCAACACAGGCTCTGGGCAGGCACTGGGAGCCTTAGCACCGTTCCTAATAGTCCTGGTTCCTAGCATTGGCTGCAGGAATCCTGGGGGCCCTGGTGGGAGAGACCTTTTGGGGATGGATTCAGACTGGGAGATGCTGGGAATTTATCTTTCTCTTTCAGCCCAGGCCTACAGCTGGGTCAAGATGGGACCTTGGGAGAAGGTAGGGCCTGGACATTTGCCTCTGCAGAGAGAGAGTTCTGCCAGGAGTAAGTGAGGCTCGCCAGCGGCTGAGGAAGACTTGATCCTGGGGCCTGATTAAATGACTGGCCTCAATTTTCCTGCAGGCCTGTCTCCATTTCTGAGAAAGTGGTATTACTCCCTCAACTTGCTAATGAACTTTATGAACTGAGACTGGCCTTGTCAGAGCCTTCAAAACTGTCTTGTTTTGTGTTCCTCTGTTTTCACAGGCATCTTCTATTTGTGGTGAGGGATAATGGTTTTTCATTTGGACTATGATACAAAAGGTTTAATTTTTTTTTCCTAAATGTGTACTGAAGTTTAAAATGAGTTGATTTAAGGAAGCTAAATGAGTAAAAATTAAGGAGATGTCTTGTCAGTAACTAAGGTTTGCGAAGCTCACCTGGGTCCCCTCCTCCTCTACACTCTAATTTTGGGGCAGGAGGAGCAGGCATGGGGTGACTCAGGAGGCAGGTGGAAGTCTTCCCTGAAGCCTGGAGACTGCAGGGCCTCTGTCAGAAATGAGACTGTCCAGGGCCAGGGTGGAGGAGAAGGGTGGTGATTGACCTTGGGAAGTGTAAGGTCTAGACTGATGGAGAATGGGAGTGGGGCTAGAGTGAGTAGATTGAAGAGGATCACACACCAAAACTGATGGCTGAGTTTAGGTAACCATAGGTGTCCAGGCAGTGGAGATTAAGGGCAGTCTTTCAAGATCCCTCCCAGCCAGGCTGTTTCTTCCCTGCTACCCCATCAGAAACCCAGGAGGGGGTTCTTTGGGTCACACACCCACTTAGGGGCACACATCTACCACTTGGATGAGAATGGATCAGCACCAGGCCTGACTGTCCTGCCAGGATTGTACACTGAGTGAGAAGGGACACCCCAAAGGAAAGCCTGGTGCTACCACTATTAGGGGGCTGGAGAGGGGGTAGTCATGGAAAGAGCAGAAGCCTAAGGGGCTATGTCCCCTGGGGCCTGCAGAAGTGACATCAGAGTGAAGGAAGGCCCACTGCATGCATTCATTGGGTCCTGATGTCTGAGAGCTTCAGCTGTCTGTCCCTGTAGCCTCTGCACTCCCAACTTTATTCTTTGAAATGGCAGCAGTTGTCTGGCTCCTGGCCAGTTTTCCACAGCTCTCTGTGCCCTTACTGTAATGAATTCTTCAGGGCCTGCCTGCAACCCAACTCCCTCAGGCACTTCAAGAGAGGTGAGCTCTGCCTGTCATCCTGCCGGCCAGGATGGTACACTCCCTCACCCAAGGGTTCACCTTTGCTGGGGACAGTGACACTGGCCCCCATCTAGGAGGGAGGATGGAGCTAAATGAGCATAGAAAGTCCTGCTTTCTTTCCAGACCTGGCTGTGAACCTTTCTCCTTTGTTCTCCTTGCTTCCCACAGAGTGAATATCCTTTTGTTGGGATTCCATGTCAGCCCTAGCATGCACTGCCCTCTGGAGATTTTCTGGGGCATCCCCTGGAAGTGGCCTCTCCTTCCATCCTTCTTTACCTGAGGGCTTTGTTTTGTTTTGTTTTTTTGTTTTTTATCCTCACCTGAGGACATTTTTCCATTTTTTGTTCAGATAGAGCAAGAGGGAGAGAGAGGAAGAGAGAGAGAAAGAAACATCGTTGTGAAGGGACACATCGAGTGGCTGCCACCCGCACGACCAACCAGGGCCGGGGACAAACTGCAACCGAGGTACATGCCCTTAGCGGGAACCGAACCCAGGTCTCTCTGTACCGCAGGCCGACACTCTAACCGCTGAGCCAAACTGGCCAGGGCACCTGAGGGCTTCTTAACCTGAGGTCCAAGGATCCAGAGTTGGGGGTTCCAGGAGCTGAGATGAGAAAAACAAACAAACAAACAAATAAATAAATCCATCTTTATTTTCACTAACTTCTAATTGACATTTGGTATTTACTTGCATTGTACGTGGAGGCAGCAAAGTCCAGCAGAATTCACAATACTTGTGACTGTCACATGGAAATCACAGGGGTTTTCATACCCACTGCAGGTGCTGCAAACACTTCCAAATAGCAGTTACATACCTATTGCTACCTGGTGTTTCTGGTAATTATTAGTCCTACCTCTATATCTTATAATGCCATAACTTTGTATGTGTTTTTATATTTTGGTATTTGCATTTTAATATTAGCAGTCCTTTTGTAATGCAATATACTTTATTTAATGCATCTTAAAACATGGTTCTAAGCAGCAGTCCTTCATCTTCTCTAGATACTAAGGGTGTCTCTGGCACTGTGAGAGTTTAGAAGTCCTGCCTAAGGCTCACCTCATCTTTCTGCTGGCCCTTCTTTCCTTGGATGCCTCATTCTCATGTTCATTCATAACAAAGGTCTATAACTTATGAGCTCTCTTTCCCTTATGAAAGGTTCATTCATAACTCAGAAAGCTTACCCTGGGGGGAAATAAATAAGTGCCTGAAGGACAGAGGGCCTCCCTGAGACAATGAAGTTAGTAGTTTGACTCAGGGAAGTAGAGGAATTACCTCAAAGATATGGCCAGATTGTTCAGCACATACAAATGTCTCTGTTGAAGGATACCCTCAGGACTGCCAGGGTAGAGCTCAGTGAGAGAGGGCACCAGAGGCAGACAGGGTAGGACAAAGCACCAGGACCTTGCACACCTTATCAGGTATTTGGGTTTTTACCCTTGGAGCTATGGGGACCCTCCAAAGCAGGGAGAGGAGTGGGGGCTGCCTTGGGGATGATAGTCAGATTTGCATTTTGAAATAGAAGGGACTAGAAGAGAGTAAGAGAGGAAGCAGGGACACCTGCCAGGGGCTGTTGTAGGGAAAGAAGTCTAGAATACACAGCTGTAGCATGAAAATTATTTTGAGCTGAAAGCATTTGAGAATAGGCCTTTTTCCTAAAGTCCTTTATCTGCCTAAAAGCAGAGCCTCCCAACAGACCACACTTGTCCTAAATTCCTTCCTCTGGAGCAACCAGAGGAAGATGGATCTTATCACCTAATAAACCCAGACATTATCACAAAACAATCAATCATACCTCCCATCTATTTTCCTAAGGGCCCATTTATCTTTCCTAAAAATCATTTGTTTCTCCTGTAAGTACCTTTCTCACCCTCCTCCCCTTCTGCTTCCCCTATTAAGTTGGTATATAAGCCCCCAAATTCTAACCACCTAGTACTTGAATAAAAGTCTGATTTTAGCCCTGACCAGTTTGGCTCAGCAGTTAGAGCATTGGCCCATAGACCAAAGGGTCACAGGTTTGATTCCTGGTCAAGGGCATGTACCTGGGTTCAGGTTTGATCCCCGGCTCTAGTCGGGGTCATGCAGGAGGCAACCAATCTATGTCTCTCTCACATTGATGCCTCTCTCGCTTTACCTCCCTCCCTTCTACTCCATCTAAAAATCAATGGAAAAATATCCTCAGCATTAACAAAAAAATAAAAATCTGTTTTAGTTCTTGTTATGTTTTTGTTCTCATGTCACTTTAATTCATAGGCCCTAACTACTGAACCTAAGAGGGCAGAGAAAAAGTTTTTCTGCCTCCCTATAGGCATCTCTCCCCAGAGAGAGAGAATCTGAAATGAGGAATGGGGGTTAGAGATGAAAAGAAGTAGATAGGTTCAGGACAATTTTTAGAAGATGAGCATGGACTAGAAAGACAGACTCCCTGGGTTTATGATTCTGGCTTCACCTCTGTGTGTGTGTGTGACACAAGCTGTGTAACTTTGTACAAGTTACTTAATCTTTTCTGAGTCCATTTCCCAGGGGGGTAAAATGGGGGATAATTATCAGTTAAAATAGGCTTGAATATGCT